AATTGAAATTTGAAAAGTGGTATTATTCCAAAAAATATATATTTATTATTTTTGGTTGTCTTTCAAGTGCACGAAATTTAAATTGGAGCTGTTTGAAATTTTTCCTTGAACATAATCATAATAATTCAGAGGCACTAGTACAAGTATATGCATATATCTAAGGAAACCTCGAATTTGTGTTTTTGTACTACATTTCTGTATTACATGTTTGTATTTTATTACGACTACATTAATTTATATTTTTATTATTGGACATATTGCTTTAAATGTTATATAACAAGAAAATTTTACTAGTAAATTATTTTTATTATTGAGATTAATTAATACAATATATTTACAGGTTCATCCTGAAAATCCAGAATGGACATGTTTTGAACAAACTGCAAGTTTAGACATTAAAAACTTTTTTGGTTTTGAGAATTCAATGGAAAAATTAGCAATGAAACAATATGCTCAAAACATTGCAAAGGTATTACTTAATAATATTAAATTTCTTTAACTCCTATTATTCAAATCGTTACAGGGTAAGGAGATAATTGAATATTTTATAAACGAATTAAAAGAAGAAGGTATTGTATATGTACCTCCATGGAAAGATTCAAATGAAACAACTGAAAAAGATGAAGAGTAAGTTTCAAATTATTATTACCATTGTATTTTTGCACGTGTCTAAAGATAGAAAAATTAGATTTCTTGAAATCATATTGAGATTATTATATCTCGATCAAGTTACATGTGTGTTTGGATATTAATTATTAAATCGTTTAAAGAAAATATATGATTATTTTTATGTTCAGGAATATTGCGAAAAGTCAAGAATCTTTCAGTCCAGAAGAAGCTTATTCTTGTGCGGATAACAAATTACAAAATAGAGGTTATTTTTTTCTATGTTATTATGTATAATATTTTTAAATTCAGTAAATCGTTTTTGAAAACAAAATATTTAATCTAATTCGAAATTAAATTAAATTACATTGACTAATATTTAATTCATTTATAATAATTAACTATAGATCCCTGACAAAGATTTTTTTTAGAAAGTAATAACTAATATTTAAAACTTTGTGATTCTAAAATTTTTTAACTCTCGGATATC